CACTGTCTGACGCGTCTGCCTCCGCGACCCGAAAGGAGAAGCGGCGATGGAAGATGAAGATGAAGACTACTGCAGTATTGTAACGCCCCCTTGCTTCTAGTTGCCTAGGGAGCCATTTAACGGCTCGATGGTATCTGCGCAGTGCTAGACGTCTCGCATTATTTTGTCCACTGGAACCACCTGAAGCTCATCGCGAACGATGTTTCAGCAGCCGGTGCTGCGTTTATGCCATGACATAATCATAATAAGCTGCCCGTACTCCCGAGTACGTCAAATAACGAATGACTCCTCGAAGACAAAATGATGCGCAATGCACTGCTCCAAATACTATATAGTCGTGGTCTGCTTAGATGCTGCCCTCTCCCTGGGCAAGTAAAAGCAATGGGACGGTGCAATACGCCGCCGAATCTGGTTTTCGAGGAGTCATTCATTAAATGTTTAATAAATGTTTATTGCGATCACATGACTGGTGAGTTGAATTTGATACCTGCTTGCTGCATCGATTTTGTATGAACCTGGCTTAAAAACATGAATGAGACGTTGCTCTCGCGATAATGGCAAAGAGTAAACGGTCAAAGCATTAGATTGTATCTAGGCGCGGGTTTGGGTCAACTTTGGGTGCTTCATCATTACCGCTTCATCCTGAGTTGCGATTTCTTTGCCCACTTTTCTCAAAGTAATTACGCTGCAGAACGTAACAGCCCCGGTGAAAAGTTACCCGTCACGTCGACCACGTCAACCTACATCATCAATCTCAATCAGTCAGTCAGTTTTGATGACCGCCTGTCCTTGGGCCGTGGAAGCAGACATATCAGAGAGTGTCCCAACTCTCCTAATCCTCTGCCAGCGTTTGAGCTTCGGCAGACGGTAACCAGAATCTGAAGCAGAGTCCGTCTTCCCCTAGGCGATTCTTGGCCCGCCCCGGGGTCTTCGGTCGTTTGACTGGGCAAGTAGCAGCTGTTTCGCTTTCTTTCTGAAAACATTCGCAAAACATCACATCTGCGACTTTACAATCTGGAAAAGCAATGACTGTACGTACACAAGGGCTCTCTCGAATATCTGAACTCCGGATCATGTCGATGTGCGTGAGCCCAACAATTCGCCTCAGCCGACTGTTACCCGGGATCAGTTTTTCAGTCATGGCCATAGATGAGCATGGGAATCGACTTCAACACAGACAGTTCAGACTCTGTTCTGCTTTAGTCACAAAGGTTCCTGCTAGATAAATCAGAACGCCGCTGACCAGTCTATTTCGCCGGTCCATCTCATCCTCCCATTTTCCATAATCAGTAAACACGACTATGAGATACGCTAACTTTTTAACTTATTACACTGTTTCTCCGTTTATTTGCATAGCGCACTGGGAAAGACGACGAGAAAGCACGAAGTTTTTCGTTCATCCGTATGTCGGCTACGTCATTTCTTGAAGCAATGGAGATCAGTTTCGGAAGGTACCAACAAAACACGGTTTATGCAAACAGCAAACTTTTCGGTTCAGCATCTCCTATACTTATAAATTCATCGCCCTAGCTTTGCCTGATTATCCTTTCCAAAACAGGCAAGGGGATAGAACGCAGCCATTGCGGGCACCAGTGTAAATGCTGACGCTATAAGGTGTCGACTTAATTTCATTTACTCAGTAGTACCTCTTATCAACATGTAATTATTGGATGGCTGGTAACAACTGGCCATTGATCCCATACCCCGTAGACACGCCTATAGCTTGTTCCGCGGGCGAGGGTCATAGAGAGTCTGCACGTCAGCAGAGCACGAATAAACTGGATGAGCGAAATCACACAATTTGGCGAAGGCTGAATA